TCGACCGGTACGGTCGACCGAAAACAGATATGACAGAAAAACAGTTTTTGGAAGCTAATTTTGACACTTTAGAAAATATGTTAAAAATAACAAATGAAGTCCAAAAATAATGAAACTTTGGGAAATGTATATAAACATGAAGACAAGCATGTTACAAAATGAATTTTCCAAATTGCATTTCCCATTTGTGAAAAATCATCATTTTGCAAAATAGTCCAAAACACAAAAATGGAAACATGTGAATTTTGATATTTTGGCTAAACCATGTTTTGAGACTTTGCACAATGATTATATAGACTTAATAAAGTATGTATATGATTATTGTTAAGTCCAAAAACTAAGAATATAATATTTTCACAAAATTGCATATTCTATGCAATGTTTACGAAAACACAATAGTAAATATGAAATATGTGATTTTATATTTATAAACATGAAAACCCAAAACATATGTATGTATATATATAAAACTATATAGTATATTATATTGAGCTTAACGTACTTAACACACATAATATAAACTCTAAAACTACATTACCCAAGCATTCTTGATCTTCAATTAAGCTTGACTTGGTACACGTTGCGGATGAAGCTTGAACTCGATCTTTAACTTGAATTGCATAAGCTTCACCGACATTCCGCCAACCTCCTTTGGATATGATCGTTGAAGCTCTATTCCATCCAACCTCCAACTACGTTGTTTGTCTACAATACATAGGAATGTACAAACACTAGACAAACAACATTAGTAGTAAATTGTTTGTAAATCATCATCAAAACAAGAAGGCCAACAATCTCCCCCTTTTTTATGATGACAAACAATTTACAAAAAGGATATATGCATGAAAGAAAATGAATATATAAATTATAATTCACATGCATATAAAAAAGAAAAATGTATATTCACAATATTTCTCCCCCTTTGACAACATCAAAAAGGGGACAAAGGAATGAAGAGAGCGAAAGCTCCCCCTATCAATAAGCATGAGTGAGTACAAAGCAAATATAGGGAATAGCTCCCCCTATCAAAAAGCTATATGAAATATAAACAATAAAAGATCATGGCAAACATGTGAGCAAGCATAAATAATATGCCAAAAAAACACTCACATCCAAGAGATAATGAGAACACATAATGATATGTCACGATAAATAGGTGTCTCAAAATACAAGCCTAAAAACCATGTATAAAAAATAGATTTATGAAATCAAAAGAGAGAAAACATGAGAATCATGCAAAAAGAGTTTTCGAATGAAAACAAATCAACCAAATGAAATCATAAATCAACCATTTAAACCAAAAATGATGTTTGATCAACAAAAAAAATTCTTTTGTAAGACTTGATCAAACCACTCATAGAATACATTATAAAGCACGAATAGATGATCCATTAGCACAAACACATAAATATCATCATATAAGTGAATTATAATGAATTCAAAAGCAACAAATCAAAACACAATTTTTAAGAGAGGCAACAATTATATCAAGCTCTTGAGCTTGTTCCAACCCATATAATCATTCTAGCATCCGGTAAACTTGATTTGGGAATAAACACCCAATAAACCCGGAGGGTTATATAAACACAAACCTCTCATCAAAATCAAGACTAATAATTATGAAAACAAAAGATTTGATAAAAGAAAAATTATTTTCATAACAAAAAGATTTTAAAACGTAATTTTCAAAACCAAGAAAAAAAAAAGTAAAAGTACGAAAATTCTTGGTTTAAAAAATCATTTTGACACCCAAGAATTCTTGGTGCCGGATTGGTTAGGGACATGACCCCTATCAATAAGGCTCAAAGCCCTAGGGTTATGAACCCATTTGGGCGCATTTAGTGCACGGGTCCGATCATAGCAATAATTTTGTAAATGACCCATTCGATTGCAATAAGTGCAATGAAGAGGATGCATTTGGTTATGTTGACCATGTGGATGTGCACGAGGAACATTTGCAAGTAAAGATGGTCTTTTAAGATTATTTTGCAAATGAGAAACTCTCTTTACATCAAAACAAAATTTGGCCAAATGACCAAATCGACCAAAAAATCACATTTAAACACATGAGCATGCTTATGATGAACATGATGAATATGTGCATGTGTATGTGATGAAGAAGCCTTATGAGATGCACAAGAAACATTAGTATTGGAGTATTTATGTGCATCATAACAAAACTTAGCTAAATGGCCTTTACGACCGCAAATAGAACACTTATAAGTTTTGTTATACATGTGTGCAAAATGTACGGGTTTTGAAGTTGTAGTACGAGACTTTGCACCCAAGTCCGTAAGTTTCTTATTATCTACAATGCATGTTTTAAGGGTTGAATCTAAAGATGATATGCGTTCTTTAACATGATTCAACACATTGTTAGGCATACAAGCATTGGAAATAGAAGTAGATGAAACATGATCATTTTTAAACGAACTAAACTCATTTCTAATAGTTTCCACTTCTATCATGGCATCATTATTAGCATGAGTTAAGCTAGCAATAGATGAAGACATGTTATTATTTTCCAAACTTAATAACTCATTGTTTTCTTTCAAAAGAGCATTCTCTTTAACAACAATATCAAGTTTAGAAGCTAGTGACTCATGATCGGATTTCAAATCTACATGCTTGCTTTTAAGATCAATAAAATTATTTTGCAATTTAGTATAGGCATGAGATAATCTTTCATATGCACAAGCGAGTTCATCAATAGATAAATCATTATCAGAATCAGAATCGCTTACTACACAAGAGTTATCCTCTTGTGGCCATATGTATGATGCTCCACATGAACTTGAAGAAGAATCCTCCAAAGCTTGTCGGATTGCCTCCAAGTCCCATTGATGTGCTTCAATAAATTTCCAAATTTCTCCAATGTGGGCACAATGTAAACACAATCAATAACTTCCCATAAGTCAATATTTCTAGATTGCATAGATAGTTTAAATCTAGAAGCCCATTGTGCATAGGGGAAATTAATGAATTTAGGAGCAACATTTGATTCATAGCCTAAACGAAATACATTTATATTCATGATATATATGTGAATATATGCAAGCAAGACAAATGTAATCATACTAGATTAGCACAAATACAATAACTTGGATCTTTAACTCAAGGCGGTTAGTCCTTAAATCAAAGAGCACCAAGCTCTGATACCAATTGTTAGACCCTAGAGGGGGGGTGATTAGGGTCTTATGCTAATCTAATCCGATTAAATGCCAATTAAAATTAATTAATAAGTTATCATAGCTAGTATGAAATATAACAACTATATACAAACTAGGATAAGCAATATGAACAACAAAGAGATATATCCTATATGATAAAAATATATATGCAAGGATATATAAATTAACACAAGGGGTAAACAATCTAAACTAGATAGTGGACAATATAATCAACAAGCAATATACAAAAGCGATATAAGATATGAACATAAAAGGAAGTACGCCAATGCAATCACAAACAAACAATATGATTACGGAGTTCGGTCCCCACGACCTACGTCTCCGCTCCTCACCTCGAGGAGATCTCCACTATCACAACCGGGTTTTCTAAGTTCACCCGAACAACGTTTACACCTCACAATACAATCACTATGCAATCACACCTCACACACTAAGTGTTGGTCCTAGCCTGTGTCCTCCTCCTCAAGTGCTCGATTACAACCTTTCCCTAGGCACGTCAACCAACGCCACTCCTCTTGGATTTGACCCCGTCTCTCACCACACACTTCTCTCGGTGTACAAGTGTATTACAAGTGAATCCTCACAATTAAGTACAATATAAATCAATTTGATTGTTCTCTAAACAAGGTGAGAAAATAAAATCAATTAAACTAAACTCAATATAAATCTAGCTTATGGAAATTATAATCAAAATAATAAATAGCTAGATGAGTTTAGAAACACTTCTCTAAAGATGACAAGAGAGTGGGAGAAGAGTGAATGCTCAAACACCAAAGGATGATCTCCACTTGCTCTTGTGAAATTTGCTTCACAAACAAAACTCTTAAACACTCTTTTAAACAAACACAAAACACCCTTAAACTTGTTTAAACAATTCTCTTAGTTAGGTTGAAAGAGAACATCAATAGGGTATTTATACCCACTCAAAATCTCAGCCAAAACCCCCAAGCAAAAGTCCAAAAATCCCCAGAAAAATCAGCTCAGAAAATGGCCGTTGAAGTCCAACGGTCATATTGGCGGTCGACCGAAAATATTTGCGGTCGACCGCGAAGAACAAAAACACGAAGGACTGTTCTGGACAGTCGTCGGTCGACCGGTGCGGTCGACCGATGGAGTTTTTCGATCGACCGGACCGGTCGACCGACAGACTCTCTGTGTCAGAGTCGCAGGAGACGTCCAGAGAGTCTTCGGTCGACCGGGTGGAAATTTCGGTCGACCGATGGTAAATTTCGGTCGACCGGCGGAAATTTCGGTCGACCGACGGTACTGGTCCAAAAATAATGAAACTTTGGGAAATGTATATAAACATGAATACAAGCATGTTACAAAAAGAATTTTCCAAATTGCATTTCCCATTTGTGAAAAATTGTCATTTTGCAAAATAGTCCAAAACACGAAAATAGAAACATGTGAATTTTGACATTTTGGCTAAACCATCTCTTGAAACTTTACAAAATGATATTATAGACTTAGTAAAACATGTATGAACTGATATTGAAGTCTATAAACTAATAAGATAATATTTTCACAAAATTGCATATTCTATGCAATAAATACCAAAACACAATAGTAAATATGAAACATGTGATTTCATATTTATAAACATGAAAACTCAAAAAATAAGTACTAAAACACAATAGAGTATGTAATATCATAAAAAACCAAAACACATGTATGTATATATATATAACTATATATATGCATAGAAACCAAAACTTATGTATATATATATAACTATATATATATATACGAAGAAACCAATAATTAAATTATCTTTCCTAAATGTGTATGTAAATCTACAGGACTGCTTCTGCCTTGAGGACTTTGAGGGGGCTTGGAATTATGTGTTCAATGTTAAGGTTGAAGTAGTTCTCAAACAATGGAGGCATGAGATCAAACATGAAACCTATGACAGGTATGAGGAGGACTGGCAGAGGTTTTTAAACCTCGACGCCCGAGTTGACGAGGTTCATTTCACAGCTCTCCTCATGTATTGGGACAGCGATGCCTCCAAGGTTAGTTTCATGAAAATTACTTTATACTTTTAAGATATTAATTTATTGCATATTTGCTAATTTTTTTCTTTTAAAAAAGAATAAATCCACGAAGGGGTCAGAAAATAGAAGAAAGAAGCTGCATGACCACCACTTGGGCTCACACTCCTATGCCAATCTGGAGGATGTTTATTGTCAGGATACGGTAGATTTCCGTCTAAAGTTTTGATGAATTTAATGATTAGTATGATTATGAGTGTGATAATATATAATATGACAGGGAAAATCATTAATGCCAATACACTTGAGGGCGAAAGCGGCGTATGGCATTTTCCGTGATAGATATAGGGGTGATGAGAAGAATCGAGATAAGATCAAGGCAAATCTCGAGTTGGTGGTGAGAGTTATACATATCTTGTGTAGTATTATTAATTCTATTTTGTTGTTAATATTATGAGGAAATGAGAACACAAATAACATTGTCTTTACCATGAAATAATTATATATTTGTGCTTTAGGAGGGATTTGAGGCTGCATCAAAGGAGGCTGCAACTGTGTATATGTCGCAGCAGGAGGAACAATCTGAGCCGGACCCTCACATGCTTTCTGCAGAGGACAACATTACTCTCACACAGCATTTGATGGGTCATAATAGGTATGGATGTAGAAAATTTGAATCAATTTGAATACTACATTCCTATTTATATTTTTTTATCATTATTGAATTCGAGAGGTAAATTTAATATTTATTTCTCCCTAAACATAGGAGAGGGAGATATCCTCTGCATGGTGTTGGAGCTTCACCCGGCGTAAGCATGAGGTCATCCACAGCATCCTCCACACCATTTACATCCATGAGAGCAGCCCCGCCTCGGTTCCAGGCTATGCCATTTGTCGCACGTATCTCTGCATATTTGCTTGACAAGATTGACTCGGAGCTACATATCCAGGTGACTAATGAGATGACAAAAGTTGCGCTGACGGCGAACTCGATGGATGATCTCCTGGGGTATGTCATGCAATATTTAAGCGGTGCGATTCCTCATAGCGCGTATGGTGGTGTTATACGGATTATAAGCTCGCTTGGCGATAATTCCGGTGCTGGTCAGAGCAACACTCAGGTACCTTTTTTTTCCTTAAAATAATAAATTCATTTATATTTAATATGTATTAAACACCCCTTAATGATTATTCAATTGACCATTCAGAGTGGAGATATTGGAGGGAGCAGCACACGTTCTCGTAACCGGGATAGAGATACTGCCGACGACGACGACTGATGAGGTTTATGAGGTTTTTTGTACATTTTTAATGCAATGAACAGCTTTATCTGTTATAACAATACTTATATGCTTGTTGGATGTATATATTAGACGGTCTTGGTTGATGCATATTTTGAAGTAGATAGTTGGATTTGTTTATTATGCTGGAATTGATTATATTATGGCTGGATCTGTGCATTATGTTGGATTTGTATATTTTTGGGTTTGAATGGAATTGTCTAAAATCTTGATTATATTTGGATGGTTGGATGTATTCATATATACAGTATTTATTGTATGTATTCATGTATTGGTGTAATTGTACAGGGAAATACAAATTGTAATATATTTTTTTTTGCTGGAAAAAGAGCACCTAGACGGAATTCCGTCTAGACTGTACCAACCTAGACGGAAATTCCGTCTAGGTTGCAATAATCAACCTAGACGGAAAACCGTCTAGGTTGTCAACCTAGACGGAAAT